CAAAGTGGGAATAGTGACTACAGGGGCTAGACCTTGTATAATTCCTTAGAGATTGTTTAAGATTAATTTGGGCTGAGCTGGACATGAAGCATTACAGGTCATTTTGCTCTGTTGGGCCACAATGGGGGCATGAAGTGGTTTTATGGATCTTGGAAAGCCAAGTACAAACTGAGCAGTAAATGGTAACTGAACTTGCAGCAGAGTTTAGCTCTGTAGAACTAGGTCCAAATACAGGATTAGAGGGGCTGTCCCAGTCCTAATTCTAGAAGCAGTATGTGCTGCCTCCAATATGGAATAAAGATACAGAAGAATCTAGAAACCGGTTTGAATGCTAACACTTGTTTTGGTATATAGTCCATATGGAACAGGATTTCATTCCATGATTAGAGCATTGGAGGGAGAGCAAATGGGAAAGTGCCACTTTTAAACCATCAGATCTCATGAGAACTCACTCATTACCATGAGAACAGCATAGGGGAAACTGCCTCCATCATCCAATCACCTCTTACCAGGTCCCTCCCTCACCACACAGGGATTATAACTCCAGATGAAATTTGAGTGGGGACACAGAGCCAAAGTATATCAGGGGTGAAGGTATCAGGATGTGCTTTGTTCCTTATCCATCCACAATTACTAGTGTAAGTTTGGAATACAGTTCAGGGAATATCATTTTTAGGTTTGCAAGAAAGAACATGGGCCTCCTTCCACTTGATGACTTCAAGATTCTGTGATCACAAAACTCCGATTCTGTTACCCCTTAGTTCACAGGTGCAAGCTGCATGGAAATTCTTGGAGACTAAAAACAAAACATGATTCCAAAGAAATCATTACATCTAAAAGATACCTTCACTTGTAGGCTGATCATAGTTCTATTCACAACAGCAAGGATATGGAATCAACCTCAGTGTCCATCAACAGATGATCAGATAAATAAAATGTGCTGTATATGTGTGTGTAAAAAAAAAAAAAAAAAACACACACACACACACACACACCATGGAATACTCTCAGTCATAAAAAAGGAATGAAATCATGTCACACTTGCTGGATCATGGATAGAATTGGAGGCCATTATCTTAAGTGAAATAATTCAGAAACAGAAAGTCAAATACCACATGTTCTCACTTATAAGTGGAAGCTAAATAATGTGTACACATGGACATACAGAGTGAAATAATAGCTACTGGAGACTAGGATGGCTGGGTGGGTGGGTGGGGGTAAGGGATGAGAGATTATTTAATTGGGACAGTGTGCACTATTTGAGTGATGGCTACATTGAGAGCCCAGATGACACCATGAACCAATATAGCTATGTAACAAAACTGCATTTGTACCCCCTAAATCTATAAAATAAAAAATAAGAACTTTTTAAAAAAGAAGCATCAATTAGATCTGGGTTTAATATGGGCAGTCTGGGGGCATTCCTCCATTAAGCATTGTCCAATAGAGTTTTTGTGATTTTTTAAAAAAGTTCTGTATTTGCACTGTACAGTATGGTAGATACTAACCACATATGGCTGCTGAGCCTGTGAAATGTAACTAGTGCAACTAAAGAAGTCCATTTTTAATTTTAATTACTTTAAATTTTAATGTAATAACTACATCTGGCTAGCGGCTACCATACTGGCTAGCATGGTGTCTACACTGTCTCCATTTGTACTTTAAAGATGTTATTAACTTTAATTATGGTAATTATAAAATGCAAAAAAAAAAAAAAAAAACCCAAAAACTGGTAAACATTTAGTCACATTCTTAAAGTAGAGATACTTAAGTATAGTCAGGAGAAGGACAGACAGAATCCAAACCCTGCTCTTAGAGTCAGAAAGAGAATCCCAGCATATTTATTGGCACAAAAGGGGTTGAAGAATGCATTCTTATAAGTGGTATGTGGTACCACCTTCAGCTTTACCCTTTCTCATACTTCTGGTTGAAGACCATTGGGATGGAAATTTTTGGAGCCCTTGCAGCTCTACATTAAATGATGTGTATTACTTGCAGCTAGGATGGTCAGGAAAAGTTTCATGGTTAATATTGCACGATGTGGGTCATGGAATAATGGAAGGATGCACTGCATGGGGTAAAGGCTCTGATGTTGGAATAACATAGAAGAAAAAAGGTACAGAAATGCGTACAAGGCCTGCTCAGACAATGGTGAGTAGATTACTTTGGCTTGAGACAATGTTTCATGTCCAGAATGGTGGGAGAGATAGTAAAGTCAGAAGGGATTGCTTAAAAAAAAACTTGAAAACTATATTTTTAAAATGGACCTTAATTCTATAGGAAATTGGAACCCATTTGAGCCATAAGACAGATGATAGGACAAAAGGATTAAAAACAGATGAGACAGAAAAGAAGGAGACCCTTAGAGCTACTGCAATAATTCAAGAAATAAAGAAATGAAGAACTAGGGTCTTGGCATCGAGTCTAGAAAGTAACAAATATATAAGAAGAATGTGAAATTGCAAAACAAATTTCATTGTCAGTTTATAAAATGAAATATTAAGGACTGAACTAGTGATAAGATTGTGGGGCTTGGAACTATATCTGGTTCATGTGAATTTTCTTAGAGCATAATTCAGTGAGGGAAATGAATGAAGTTTTTAAAACAGATAAGTCACACAGCTTTATGTATGTGTGTGTGTGTGTATTAAGATTTATATGATATGAAAATACTGTAAAAAACAAATCTAAAACTTGGATAGAAGTTTAAATAACAGTTTCTTAGAAAAAGTGATTAGGTAACAAATGACCTGGTTAATTTTCATTTTGATTGAAGAGTACTTAGAAGCTTCTAAACTTTTAACATTGTTTTAGATTTCCTTTCTTTTCATCTGAATCACATTTTTCCTCCTGTAACAGACTAAAGTACTTCCTACCAAACAATTCTAGAAATGTTACACCATCCACTGTAATTGGCCATATTACAGTACTCTTTCAAGTTGTTTTGTAAAACAAAAGGCAGCTTAGATTGTATAATTTAGCAATAAATGGTAACTAAATTGCCCTTAGTGGATTGTGAATTTTGGCAGAAAAAAATACTGAAAGAAATTTGAAAAACTGAAAAATTCCCCTAGTGTTAGAAATGCCATACAAATAACCTTCAATCTTATAATAACTTTCAGTATTTTCTCTAATAGTCTAAAGCAATTGAGTTTTTCTTCTATTATTGCAAAAAAACTTAACATGAAATGTATTATCTTAATACATTTTAAGTTTAAAATGCGTTTATTGTTAACTATAGGTGCAATATATTACAGCAGATCTCTAGAGCTTATTCGTCTTGGTTAACTAAAACTTTGTACCTGTTGAGTACTAACTTTCCAGTTTTCCCTTGCCCCCACCACCCTTGGAACCACCATTCCAGTCTTTGATTTTATGAAATTGACCATTTTAGATACCTCATATAAGCGAACTCATCCAGTATTTATTTTTCTGTGTCTAGCTTATTTCACTTAGCATAACGTCTTAAGGTATATCCATATTGTCTCATATTGCAGAATTGTCTTCTTTTTTTAAGGCTGAATAGTCATTTATCCAAAGAAGACATACAAACTGCTAATGACATATACCTGGGTATATGTTCCTGGCTATATGTTCCACTGTGGGCCCAACCTACTATATTCCAGATGGGCTTTTCCATTTTTTTAAAAAATTTATTGAATAGATAGATTTAGAGTGACTCCTGTATCTCATTTTCTCTTGCTATCCCCAAGTCTCAGTCCTGTCTCTCTTTAAATCAATGCAGGGAAGTTTTCATAAAATTTTTGATATATAAATGAAACTTTGTCCAGTTTCCAGTACAAATACAAATCTCCCACTACTTTTACAGTTGTTTATGTATTTCACTGGGAATTTTAAATGGATGAATAATTAGATAAATCAATTTCTATCCTCATCTTTTGTAAGAAGTTACCAGTAATTATGCTTGGGGGTACTGGATTCAGTATACACATATTAAGTAGCATGCACTTGTGGAAAGTGAGAATTGGGAGTTGGAAGAAAAGATGTTATTTGCATCTGCTCTATGACACCTTTCGAGTACTTTCATCTCTAAGTTCCCATGGCCCTTATTGCTGTTTTTACACTTACAGCAAAAACTGTGTGTGTGTGTGTGTGTGTGTGTGTGTGTGTGTGTGTAGCTTTACAGATAGATTGTAATCACTTTGAGAAATAAAATTATGTCCTTTTTAAATGGTCCACAATTTCAAGCATAAAACTATTCATCAGTGTTCATTAGATATCCATTGATGCATTTGTGTACTTTGTATTGATAATATTTAGATGGTTTAGCATTATGGGGACACCACCAAATGGAGGAGAGCCTTAATATATCTAGAAGAGATTTTTTTTTTTTTTTGGCAATTAACAAGTTATTGAGGGTTCTCTTTTTTGCTTCAACTTTTATTTTAAGTTCCGGAGTGCATGTGCAGGATAGGTAAACATGTGCTGCATGTGATTTGCTGCACAGATCAACCCATCACCTAGGTATTAAGCCCAGTGTCCTTTAGCTGTTCTTCCTGATGCTCTCCCTCCCTCTGCCCCCATCCCCATGACAAGTCCCAGTGTGTGTTGTTCCCCCATGTGTCCACGTGTTCTCATTGTTCAGCTCCCACTTATAAGTGAAAACATGTGGTGTTTGGTTTTCTGTTCCTACGTTAGTGTGCTAAGGATAATGGCTTCCAGCACCATCCACGTCCCTGCAAAGGACATGCTCTCTTTCCTCTTTATGGCTGCATAGTATTCCATAAATTCTTATTGTTTGGAAACCCAAACGTTACTCTCTGCCAATAAACATTATTCTAAAACTATATACTTTAATCACTAATTATATTTCCTCACCTAAAAATCATGTTTCTGCGTTTTATAATATCCCAGTACATAAATAACCTTGTACATTTTCCTAATTATATTAAACATTGATATTAAAAGTTACCATTATTTGACTATAAAGATGCCCCGTAATCACAGAACTCTAAAATATTCTGCTTCTCTTTTTATAGGCCCTACTTTTATCAAATGTTTCTCGACAAAAGTTTTCCACTGGGGAAATTATTAACTTGATGTCAGCGGATGCTCAGCAACTCATGGACTTGACAGCAAACCTCAATCTCCTCTGGTCTGCCCCTTTTCAAATCCTAATGGCCATATATCTCCTTTGGCAAGAGCTGGGCCCAGCAGTGTTAGCAGGGGTGGCAGTCCTTGTGTTTGTTATACCAATAAATGCTTTAGCTGCAACTAAAATAAAAAAGTTAAAGGTAAGAAAATGACTGCCTGATGTTACATGTGTCAAACAGGAGCTGAGTTTTTCTGACTTAAATGAACAATCACCATCTCGCTAATCATATAGAGAGAGTTATAAATGGAAATCATCCAATTTTATCATTTACTTATTCACTCAATCAGCATTGACCAAGCATGTATCCTATGTCAGCCAGTGTTCCAGGCACAGGAAGTACAGCAGTGAGGGGAACTGACAAGTCCAGCTCTCATGAGGGGTAGTGGAGGGGACAGACGTTAAGCAAGTAAATAAATAGATAGAAAACATTTGTATATGAAGAAGATTTAGTAAAGATACAGTGATGAAGAGACAAAGAATGCCATTTTACATTTAGGATCAGGAAAGTCCTCAGGAAGGGAATGGGATATCAACAGGGTGAAGGAGTAACTCATGTGGACGTCTGAGGAAAGACATGCCAAGCAAAGGGAAGGGTATGCATGCAGCCTGGAGGTAGGGGTATGCTTGGTTGTTTGAAAAGTGAGGTACTGCAGCGAGCAGACAGGAAATGCTTCACTAAATTAATGTTGATATTCTTCCTTTATAATCAGTCATTCATCTTACCATCAACATATGTTTTGACATTCCGCCATGTGTTAGACAGTGTGCGCTATGCTGTACTGTAAGAAATGGAGAAACCACAGAGTTCACTGCATTGAAGGAAATCACACTGCAATGAGATAGATGCTTTCACATGTTAAATTAACAGAGGCGGATGTATTGCTTATGAAAACATTTTATAATTTTAAATGGATCAAAGATTAACAATATATATTGACATGGAAATGTGTCAATCATATTTTAAAGCAAAAAGTAGATTAAATATATGCATGTATATCATGCATATATGTAGCTATATCATTGATCCATTATTAAAATGTGAATATACCTATACACATGTGTGTGATGGAGAGGTAAATAGATGAAGATACATAGCTATAAATATATTTGCATAAGCATAGAAGTAATCTAGAGATAAAGCATCAGTCTTTAAAGAATAGTTACCTGTAAAGTAGAATTAGACAGAAGGAGGGTAGATTTTTACTTATTACTTTAATACCCCTAAGTGATTAAAACTTATATATAATTTTATATTTTTCTTAATTTTTCAAATAAAAGATGACTGATCTTTAAATATAAAAACTAGAAAATAGCGTATATTTATGAAGTAAAGGTACTTAGCATGCTAGTGTTTAGAATAACAGATTTGTTTATAATTATAACAAATACTTTTAACCAGTTTTTAAAAATATATTCTGGATTTTAAAAACTGCTATTTAAAGGCACATTATTAAGAATGCAAAAATCTTTTTTGAACCTTTGAGTCCTATAACCTTCAAAGATATTTCAATATTATGTCCAAATACACTAGATAGAAAATATACCTTTAGGCTAGGCACAGTGGCTCACACCTGTAATCCCAGCACTTTGGGAGGCCGAGGTGGTGGATCACCTGAGGTCGGGAGTTCGAGACCAGCCTGACCAACATGGAGAAACCCTGTCTCTACTAAAATACAAGATTAGCCGGGTGTGGTGGCACATGCCTGTAATATCAGCTACTCGGGAGGCTGAGGCAGGAGAATCGCTTGAACCTGGAAGGTGGAGGTTGCGGTGAGCCGAGATCATGCGATTGCACTCCAGCCTGGGCAAAAAGAGCAAAACTCCGTCTCAAAAAAAAAAAAAAAAAAGAAAAGAAAAGAAAATATGTCTTTAAATCACACACGATATTATTAGTATAAAATCGCACACAGAATATGATGGATATTAGCTCGTAAAAGCATTCTTCATAAGATATACAAATACTTATGACATATAACATAAAGTGCCAATGTTAATGGAGAAAACACTTAAGAAACGATACTCAAACAAGTATAAAATATTATAATTGTTAAATATTTGAATAAAAATACAATTGCATAACATTTATATAAAGAAAAGGAAGTGTATTTGAAAATATACATTTTAATTATTCTAATTCCCAAAGAACAAATAAAATTTATAGAGAGCCTTATTTTTATTCTTGTGACACTTCTGTTATAAGTACGTATATAAACAGTTAATGGAGTTTTTAGAAATGTGTTCTATCTTAGTAGAATGTGGGTGTTATTATTCAATTTTAAACAAATTATGTTTAAATACGTGTTATATTTTCTACTTTTCTACTATTCTCCTGTTGGCTATGTTCAAGTTACCTATTTATAACTGTCTTCCAACACTGTCAATAGAATAATGTATAAATATTGTAAGATGCTTTTCTCCACTAAATCTTAAATAAAATAGAGAAAATAGAGCATATTTTAAAAATAGCTCTGGACATATCAGTAAAAGTATTACCAATTTTGTCAAATATTCTTTTATTTTCTTTCCATTAAATAGAAAAGCCAAAGAAAGAACAAAGATAAACAGATAAAGCTACTCAAAGAAATCCTACATGGAATTAAGGTAATATGAAAGGGATATGCCTTTCACCTATTCTGAGCATAGTAACACAGAGGAAGTTTGTAGTGTTCTCCGTATCTCAGAGTGATGACAGATAATAATTGTTGGCAGAAAATTTCAGATTTCAGATATTACAGGAATTCTTATCACTAAAACAACATTTAAATGCAAAGTCAAATAAAATGCAGCCATTTTCTTTTTGTTTCTCACACAAGTGAACACAAATATCCTAAAAGTCACAAAATATTACTTATTTTAAGGTGTTGTATTGAAAAGATGAGATGAAGCAGGCAAGAGTGGTCATAACACACCCATCAGTGTAAAGGCAGATTTATATAAGGGAAGTGATGAGGTGTCATTTAGTTTATTTTATGTGGGACACAAATGATCACATAAATGCTATTCTATAAATAGTATGTTGCAAATTATTTTTCTCTAGAAAAGCTGGGATAGTTTAAAAGTGAGAGCGGTCAGTATCCTCGGGATCTGATAACAGGTGTTATAGAACCTCTCTCTGACAATACTGATAATTGCTACCATTTATTAAATATTTTCCATGCATCAAATGCTGTGCTTATTCCTTTATATGTGTTTCCTCATGGAATTCTTATAAACCTCAAGAAAAAGATTTCCCATTTCTATCTTATTAACTAGGAAACCAAGACACTGAGCAGTTAAGGGTCAGGTTTAAATTTACAGAACCAGTGAGAGTGTGTTAGAGTTCTCCACAGAAACAGAATCAATAGATTTCATATAGAGAGATACAGATATACAGAAATATGAAGAGAGATTTAAGAAACTGGCTCATCTGATTGTAGGGGCAGGCAAGTGTAATATCTGTAGAACAGGTGGGCAAACCGAAAATTCTAGCAGAAGTTGATGCTGCTATCTTGAATCTGAAGGCATTCTGGAGGCAGAATTCCTTCTCCACTGAGGAACTTCAGCGTTTTCTCTTAAGGCTTTCGACTGATTTGATAAGGTCCACTCATATAACAGAGGGTCATCTGTCTAACTCAGAGTTTAACTGATTGAAATGCTAACAGCATCTAAGAAATACCTTCACAGAAATATCTAGACTCCTGTTTGAACAAACAACTGGGCCCCATAGCCAGTCAAGCAGTCACATAAAATTAAGCATGACAGCTGGGCGCGGTGGCTTAAGCCTATAATCCCAGCACTTAGGGAGGCCAAGGTGTGCAGATCACCTGAGGTCAGGAATTCGAGACCAGCCTGGCCAACGTGGAGAAACCCCGTCTCTACTAAAAATACGAAAATAGCTGGGCATGGTGGCTCATGCCTGTAATCCCAGCTACTTGGGAGGCTGAGGCAGGAGAATCGCTTGAACTGGGGAGGTGGAGGTTGCCGTGAGCTAAGATCATGCCATTGCACTCCAACCTGGGCAACAAGAGCAAAACTCCATCTCAAAAAAAAGAAAAAAAAAATTAAGCATCGCATAGAGCTGGAATTTGAATGTAAGTCAATTCACTCTAAAGTTTAATGCAATAAGCCAGTGTAGGATCCTATTTCCCCACATTTTCTGTCTCAGAAAATAGTTTACAATCTCAAAACACTAATCAGCTTTCAGAGAATGGCTTGAAGTCCCAAAACATCTGTCGTGGAGAAACTGGAATGGCAGGGAGAAGAGTTTAGCTATAAAGAAAAAGGTAGTAGACAGAAGTGAGAGTTGGATCAGCAGGAAGAGTGACAGAACTGAGCTAGACGGAAGCTGCCTATGGAGTTCTATGGAGTTCGTGCCTTACAGCTGGGATGCTGCCAGAGTCTGGCTCGGAAATAAGTTACTGGGGGTGGTGGGGACATAAGGCTGGGTGGTCATTCCCTCCTTCTGCTCTGCTCCACCCCCAAAATACCACAATTTAAGAAAATATTCTGATTCAGTCAAAGTGGAAGCAATGCAATTTTCTTCATGGTTGTACCATCATTTTTTATCTTCACAATTTTGTGTGTGTGTGTTACTTGTTTGTATGTGTGCATTTTTTTCTTCTATGATATAGATTGTCAGATAATTATTGTGACTCATTTACAGATCCTCAAACTTTATGCATGGGAACCCTCTTATAAAAATAAGATTATCAAAATTCGAGATCAGGAATTGGAATTTCAAGAATCAGCCAGGTATCTTACTGTATTTTCCATGCTGACATTAACTTGCATTCCATTCTTGGTAAGTGTATGTCATATTTCCTGTTTTTATTTTCAAATCTGATTTACAGATTTACCTCCAAATTACTTGGAATTAAGATGTATAAAGTTAAATATTATGTATCTGAATTAAAATTGTAAAGAAAATACATTCATTAACTTATGTGGATTAGAGAACAAAAGTTATAAAGAAAGGGGAAATACTGTATGTGTTTTCATTGATCTGTATTTTTTAGATATAATAAGATTTACTTCTCTGTAAATTTCTCAGAGATTTCATATATGCCTATATCTCTTAAAAACACAATCTACATTTCAGAATTTCATTCCAGTTTTAGAGCTTGATATGTATGACCGACTCCTTTTAAGCAGACTCAAAGGGCACATTATATGGAAGTGAGAAGAGAAGCAACATTTATTGAGTTGTTACTGAATGTCAGGAAAGTTACATACATTGCCTTTTTTTCAATCTCGCAATAATAAGGCATTATTTTTCTCATTTCACAAGACAAAATGGAAGTCCAGAGTAGTTGGAAACATCCTCAAAGTTACAAAATTAGTATTTAGAGGCGAACTGACATGAAGTGACATTATTTTCTTTCTATTACACCATGTAAACATTGGGAATCCCATGCTATTTTAACTAGAGTATAAATTGCCTTGAACTATGAAGCCATGGGCAAAAGCCAAAGGAAAAGCAAGTCACAGGTTACCGGAGCATCAATTTGAATCAAAGTTGCCACTCTATGTCGATAGTTAATTTTTTTAAATTTCAACAAAAGTGAGTATTATGGAAGCAAATGCAATATTTACATTTGGAATACTTTGGTAAAACCATCCAAGATGTATTTGCTTAAGCCAGGACTATATATATGATAGTTAAGTCCATTCGCATGCATGAATGATTTTTTTCTGCCTTTTCTAAATGAAACTTATAAGAACAAATATAAATCTTAAACAAGATTTATTCATATCTTCCTCAGTTAATCTTATGACACAAAGAAAGAATAATTATTATATATATGTCAGAATGTATGCAACTGGAAAATAAGTTTACATAAAACTTCTGAATTTTAAAGAAAAGATGAACTGGTTTACAATATAAATGGTAATAATAACTGTGGTAAGGGTATAACATCTTAAAAGAAAAACGCTGGAAACAAAATTATTTAGATTTTATTTTCTAATTTTGGGGACTGTAACTAATAATGTTATCAGCAGAAATTTGAAGAAAGTAACACAACACATCTCTATTTTTTAGGTGTCCCTGGCAACCTTCTGTGTCTATTTCTTACTGGATGAAGGAAACATTTTAACAGCCACTAAAGTGTTCACATCGATGTCTTTGTTTAATATTTTAAGGATTCCTCTGTTTGAGTTACCAACCGTGATCTCAACTGTGGTCCAGGTACATACAGAATACCTTAAACTAGGAGTTATTCCTTTACAGGAATCTATGGTTTGGGACATTTTATTTCTTCGTCTTTTAAATTTTATTTTATTTCACTTTATGTGGTTGTTTAACACTGCATTCAAAATTAGTTTTCCTGAATTAATGAGTAATAGAGAACATTATAGAATAAAAATGAATCATGTCTTGCTTGCTTGTGCTTTTTTTCCGTCAAAGTGACTTTTAAATACTTCAATATGTTATTTTGTTTTCTTGTTAAGTGTTAGGTTCTCTACTTAGCATTTTTAAAGCTGGTGTTAGCCACTATGCCGTCATAGGATTCATTTCCTGTTTCCAACGGAAAAGTTATAATTAGGTGCTTTGTATGAAACTGGATAGAATGTTTTTCCAGGGTTCAGCAGCATTTCATCTATACTGAATGAATAAGCAGGGAGAAAAGCACATTGATAATATCAGTCAGCCAACAAGCCATGTGTGAGATGTCTGGGTCTGCCTACTTTTAGTTGTAATCTCCAGTTCCTGGAGGCTGTTTAGATACTAGATACAATGAGTAGATGGATGCTAAAGCCACAGGAAACCCAGAAAAGTTCCTTGATCCTTTTGCCCTGAGATTTATGGTTACATTTTTTGGATATCAGGTTTGGCCATCCTCCATTCAATTATTTTCCTCAAGTCTGGATTCATAAACAAAGTGAATATTTGCTTATTGGAATCATCCTTTAATTTAAGAACTTTACTCTTTAAAAAATATTACTTGAATAAGGAGTAACATAATTGAATAGTAAAAACCAATTAAGCCATTTTTGTTACATCACATCTTTTTTCATGTTATTTTTCTTAAAATAACCAACAGAGGGCGTAGAAGAACCGCTGATGTGATGCTTTTAGTATTTGATTTCGTAGCACGCTTCTCATAAAGAAAATGTCAGTTCTTAGAGTAACAGTTTTGTTCTAGTTTTGCAACTAGAATCTAGCTAAAGGTCCGATATCAAAGCCTTTTCCAATTGCTAGCAGTACTGTGCTACCTTCATTTAAGGAGACTATTTTTCCAAAATGGAAAAACAGAAAAAGCTAGCTGTATATTCTGATTTGCCACACTTGGTAAACAAAACCACAGCCCAATTACATCTTATGTGTTAACGATACAAGTCCCCTAACACAAAGTAAATAAAAATGTACTAGAAATTTTATGTAAGTCAGGTTTCCGAAAACAATGTAATTTTATTTATCCTAATGTAGCTAAACATTTTATAGCTATTTTACATTACAATTTCCTATTTTACTATAATTGAATATTATTGTTGTCAACAGTATAGTTTTGTTTATCATCAGTAGCAGAATTCACTCACCAATTCTAAAGTTGCTTTTAAAACTTTATTTTTCTATATCACAAGGAAATATTACCTCACACCTGTTAGGATGGCTATTATCAAAAAGTCAAAGAATAACAAGTGTTGGCAAGGATGTCAAGAGAAGGGAACCCTTGTATACTGTTGGTAGGAACATAAATTGGTACATCCGTTA